TATATATAGATAGATATAGATATAGATATAGATATAGATATATCTTTGAAGTAAATATTTCTTTGTAGAAAATCATCTGCTTTAAGGGCTTAAATAGAACTGGGGTGCTCAGACCCTAAAATTGGGGGAACATAATCAGTGGGCGCTTGGGAGGGACCTCCGTCTACCTCTTCAAGGTACCAAAGAACCCAGGGAAGGGATAGAATGTAATAGCCCTGGCCTTCGGCAATAGGAACCAGAGGAATATCAGCCCGGGCAAGGTAAGCACCAAGTAGGCATCCCTGAGAATCTGAGCTATGGAAAAGCTTCCCCATCCAGAATAAAGGCTGTGGGAAGAGTGAGGGTTAGGCTTCTCATCCAACAAGCCCTCAGCATGTGTGTGCATGATATAAATATTTGTCACATAAACCATGCGTATAGATATTTTCTCTTTCCAAGAGTATAAGCTCCCAAAAGGAAGAGACCATTTCAGTCAGTAGACATTAAGCACCCTGATTGGGGAGGAAGCAAATAGATGCTGCCATCTAAAATTCAGGAATTTCAGGGAAAGTACCATATTCAACAGGGCCACGTTCAATACAGATACTCAATAGTGGCTACCCCCTGCCAGCCCTATCTCTACTAACACCAGCAACACACTTGACAGGTAATGATCTCCTAGGACCTATGAGGTAGCTGCTGCAGGGAACTGAAGCCTCAGAGGAGTTCAGTGACTTGCCCACTGTCTATAGGTGGCAGAGGCAGATTGGAATGAAGGTCTTCTTGACCAAGTCCAGCTCTCTTTCCTCCACCACCCCATGCTGCATTGGATAATCCTACAGTGGTGGGCTAGAGCCAGCTTGGATAGGTTCTAGAGAGCTGGTTGTTTAATTTTCAGTGTGACCATTTATACCTCTAGCATTGGCAAACGATACAAATCAGGGCTCAATGTGTTGTTCTGCTGATTGTCTAGACTTAGAAAGTAATGGAGAAAAATGTTAATAATACAGATCAAACTTAAAAGAATGTTGTGAGCATGTTTTTTTTCAGAGATTATTTACCAGCACATCACAGCCTACAGTCCTCTTTGTTCTCACAGGATTAAAGGATCATAAATTCAGAGCTGGAAGGGGTCATCTAATACAACCAGATGAAGAACCAGGCCCAGAGAGGTAAAGAATAACAGGCTGTCCGATTGGGGCTGGAATGGACCACAGAGGTCATCTAATGCGGCGCCTTCATTTTACCAACGAAGAACTGAGACCCAGCACGTTGAGCAACTTTCAGGCTACAGAGATAGCAAGCAGCAGAGGCAGGATCTGAACTCTGGTCCTCTGACTTCAAAATCAGGGTTCTTTCCACTGTAATATCCTGCCTCCAGCAAAAAAGAAATTGGGCCTTCTCACTGCAGCTCCCAAACCACTTTGATCTCTTCCCTCTATTTCACCTACCCCCATATTCAATCTGTTGCCAAGGCCTGTTAATTTCTACCTTTGTAACATCTCTGAATACACCCCCTTCTCTCTTCTGACACTGCCACCCCTCTGGCGCAGGCCCTCATCCCCGCACACCTGGAGAATTACGCTAGCTGCTGGGGGGTGGGCCAGCCTCAGGTCTCTCCCTCCTCTAATCCATCCTCCATTCAGCCACTAAAGTGATTTTCCTAAAAGGCAGGTACGACCATGTCACTCCTCTATTCAATAAACTCCTGTGGCTTCCTATGACCTCTAGGATCAAATATAAAATGCTGTTTGACATTTAAAGCCCTTAACAACCTCCCCTTCCCCCCATCCTTTTCAAGTCTTCTACGTTGCACACCAGGGGCCATCTCCCGTCACCCTGATCTATATCTGGCCACTGGACTCAGATGGTTCCAGTGGAGACTGAGGCTGGTGACTCTGCACAGCGCCTCCTCACTTAAATCTGATTCACTTGCACGTCATGGCATCACCTCCCTGATGTCATGGTCTTCTTCCAGAATGAAGGACAAACAACAATATTCCTCCCTGTCCTCTGCGTCCTCCCTGCTCCTTCAACAAGACACTCCCAACTCTGGGCATTTCCCCTGGCTGCCCCCATGCCTGGAACACCCTCCCTCCTCCCCTCTGACTACCGACCTCCCTGGCTTCCTTTAAGTCCCAACTAAAATCCCCCCTTCTACAGGAAGCCTTCCCCAGCCCCTCCTTAATTCTAGTGTCTTCTTTCTGTTGATTCTTTCCAATGTATCCCGCACACGGCTTGTTTGTACCCAGTTATTTGCCTGTTGTCTCCCCCATTGGACTGGGAGCTCCTTGAAAGCAGAGACCGCCTTTCACCCTTCTTTGTTATCTCCAGTACCTCATGTATTTAGCACAGTGTCTCGCATATATAGTAGGCGCTCAATAAATGTTTGGGCAGCTAGGTGGCGCAGTGGGTAGACTACCAGGCCTGGAGTCAGGAAGACTCATCCGGACTCCAACGCTTCCTACCTGTGTGACCCTGGGCAAATCACTTTACCCTGTTTGCCTTAGTTTTCTCATTTGTAAAATGAGCTGCAAAAAGAAATGGCAAACCTCTCCAGCATCTCTGCCAAGAAAACCGCAAACGAGGTCATGAAGAGTTGGACAGGACTGTACTGAGTGAACAACAAAATAAATGTTTATTGCCTTATTGCAGGGGCAAATAAGAAGAGTAAGGTAAGGTCCCTGAATGTTTCCTTTGTGGAAAGCACGCTGCCAATACTACGTTAATAAAATGCCCACTGAATTGAATTACTCTAGGCTAGGGGATCAATCCTTTTTTAGCCCCAAGTAGGAAGAGACATCTATGCAAAAGTTAATCATGCCTTATGTATCACTAAGAACTAAGGGAAGGAGGAGAAAAGGTAAGGAAGAAACAGAAAAAGGAAGGGAGTAGAAGATGAAAGAAAGAGGGAGAGAAAATGAATTAAGAGGACAGAAGGTAGGGCATACTGTTTTTAAACTGGGGCCATCTTTTTTTTTTAACCAGCATTTACTAAATGACTACTATGGGCCAGCACTTTACAAATACTATCTTATTTTATCTTCACATCCACCCCAGGAGGTAGGTGTTATTGTTATCCCTATCTTATTGATGAGAAAACTGAGGCTGAGGGATGTTAACTGGCTTCCCTAGGCCACACATAGAGCTGGCAAATGTCTGAGGCAAAATCTGAGCTCAGGTCTTGCTAAGTCCAGGCTCCCATCTACTGTGCCCTCCACACCTCCCCACTAGACACCCGTTTTCTAGTTCTAGAACCATAATCAAATTAGCTGCTGGAAGGGGTGTTCATCTCCTCTCCCAAGGCTCCACAGACCCTGCCTTCCCAAGCTACCACTCCCCGAAATGCTTCACTCGTTAGAATCAAATTCCTTTAGGGCAGGGATTGTCTTCAATTTGGTATTGGTATTCTCAGCATTTACACACAGCTAGTAAGTGCTTAACAATTCTTTTCCTCACAATCTACAGGGAGTGGGAAAATGCCTTCCAAGAAGGCTTCAGTCTACTCCCACTGCAGGCTCGCCTGTGATACCGTCTAGATACCATCTAGACCCAGCCTCCGTAAAGAATTACCTTAGGAACCTGTAAGACCTAAAAACCTGCTCTAAGACACCTCCAATACAGGCCCTCCTTTTGTCTTGGCTCTTGGTTCTGATCCAGCCCTGCTCTATGGAAATTTGAGGAGGGGAGAGATCCGGCAAGGCCTTCTCGAGGAGCTTGTGGTAGCTGAGCTCGCAGCAGGCCTCAAACTCCCAGCTCGAAATTCTTTCTACCTCAACTACTCAAGGCCCAAAAATATATGTTTGTCTAAATCCTCTCAAGCAGCCAACTGACTCATTATAGAGGTATCTTCACCTACTGCAACTTTGGGCCGTGCTCTGACGTTCACATTTTCCTGGTCAAACTGGAGAAAAACTGAAGCAACAGGATGTTACGGTTCTTCATCTGAATTCCAAACAAAACAAAAATACCCACAACTCATTAAGAATCACCATACTGGGTCTGATTCTATTAAACTGCAAACCATACAAAGGCAGGGATTATGTCTTATCAAAACTTAGTAGCTCCACCAGCAAGCAGAGAATAGGCACTTAATAGATGTCTGTCATATTATTCTGATGTATTGACTCGTGATTCTTCCAATCTGTTATTTCATCTCTGGCATCAATAGCAAAAGCTGTTCTGAAGGACCCTGGGTGTATTCTCTACACTAAGCTAAGTTCAAAAGGTGAAGAACTTGCTGAAACTCCTTACCTCCTCCCCTACCGCCACTTGTGCTTAATGCCTTTAAAATATTTTATTCAACAAAAATGTGGTAAGTGCCTTCTTTGGGCAAAGCAATGTGCTAGAGACACCATGATGGAAAAATGATCAACGTCCTTTCTCTCAAGTTTATTATAAGCTAGAACTGGGGAGTAAAAATGATATAGCCAAAGCCTAAAGCGCTCTAAGAAAATCTGAGATGGGTGAGATCACTTTCAGCTGGGGAATAGCCATCATCCCAGTTGAGGCCTTCATCATCTCTTAGCTGAACTCTGTTCCAGTTCATGACTGGTCTCCCTGTCTCAAAATTTCTCCCCCTCCAGCCTAGGTGCTTAGGGAGGAAAATGGGTCTGAAGAAGAAAACTGGGGAGTCATCTGAATAGAAATGATCAACAGTAGCCAGGGGAGAGAATGTGTTCTTCAAAAGAGAGCTTAAAGAGAAAGAGGAGGACTGGGAAACACCCACACTTCAAGATGGGTACAGGAGGAAGCTCCATCTGGAAAGCTGACTTCAGAGTGGTTAGACGGGTTTAAGAAGACAACGAGAAGGAAGCAGTATCTTGAAAGCCCAAGGAAGAGAGAATTATGTGGGAGGGGGTGGTCAATAGTGGACGAAAATTGAGAAAAGGCAGTAAGGTCATGGATGTCTAGGGAAGGAGTAGCTTCAGTGAAGTGGTGAGTGAGGGTGGGAGCCAGATTGCAGATGACTGGAGTCCAAGAAGTTTATGAGGAAGTGAAGGCAGGGAGTGTAGGCTATTTTTTCTAGAGGTTTAGCAGCAAAGGGGAAGAGAGAGGAAGATAGTTCATGAGAAGCGGCTTCTATCTTTTCAGTAAAGTCATGTAAGATCACTTGCTGAGCAAGAGGAATACAAGGTTGGAGTTGGGGGCCAGAAGAGAAAGGAGGTTTGGACTCATCACTGTGGAGAATGGGGTAAGGCAGTCAGTCAGAGGCTGACCCATAAATTACATAAACCTTTCGGAAACCTATTTACCTTTCTTGAGTGGTCATCTGAAAGATAAAAAAACTAACAGATGTAATAAATGCTTGCCTGGTGACTGATGCATTCGATTTCAGCAACAGAAACATTAACCAAGAGGATGGGGCTGCTGTGTGATACCAGAGCAGATTAATATCCTACCATCTGGAGAGGGATATAATCCTTTATAAAATCATAAAGGGTATGACTAGAGAGAACACAGCCAGCCTCTTTCCTCATGCCTCGGAATAGTAGAATCCCTTCATTCCAGTGAGCACCTGTGAAGTAAAACACAAGCTCCCTCCCTTCTTGGCAGAGGTGGAGAACCATGGGTGGAACATTCCACGTCCTGTCAGATTTGACTGACGTGTTAGTTTGTTCTGCAGAACTGCTTTTTCTTCCCCCTCTTTCTTCTTTGCTGCCAACCCTAAATCTATGATCTTATGATGTCTCACTGGGGGGATCTTCGTATGAAAACAAAAGATATCATCGAATGTTTTAAAAAGAAAAACGCAACTTGAACAATGTAAACTTGGAAAAAATAAGAGTAATGCTTTTCTAAGTGCTGTGTGAAAAGATAGCATTTGGTACCTCCAAAAGGTGGTACTAGTGGAAAACAGATTCCAAAAGGTCTAAGATTAATTTCATGGATGCCAACCCCACAACATTAACTACACTACATGTTGAGTGTACCCATACTAACTTCTGGAGTATTTATACCAGTTACCACAGATTTAGAGGTGAAGGAAACCTAAAAGCCATCTGGTCTATCCCCTCATTTTATAGATGAAAAAATTGAGGCCCAGAAATGTAAATTACTTGCCCAAGTTAATACTGATAAATGGAATAGGCAGAATTCGAACCCAGATCCATAGACTCTAAATTCAGTAAAATTCCATAAACAGTACTACACATGTCCTCCCACAAATCAAACAGCATGCCAGAGCACCAGGCTGATAAAACCAAGAATCTGACCCAATTCAACAATTCTTATGTTCTCCCAGAGGCAAGTTTCAGAAAGGGGTGCTCCTTTATCACCCAAAGGGCCAGATTCCCAGCAAGCAACTGGAAACCAGCACTTCTTACTGCATCAGTTAAAGGTAAGGCCCTAACTTTTTTTTGCTGAACGCAAACTGAAATGTGGCTGATGTTCACCACAACCAAAAACTCCTGGGACAAATTGGGAATGAAACTCCACAGGGTATTTTATGGAAAGGCCCTCAAATATCCATAACGCCTTGACGTCCCCAAGATCCCCATCCTAGTTTAAAAGGGTAATCAAAGTGATAGGAGACTAAAAATGATTTCCCTGTTCTAATTCTCAAAAGACAAATAGGACATGGTGTAAAAGGAGACGATGATTGTTTAGATAACAGGTAAACAAATGGGAACTGATCTACTCAAAATTAAATTCAGGCTTTTGTGTTTCTCCTAAAAGTTACAAGAAAACAAAGTCTAAACCAGAGGAATACTGTGCTTACTGTGCTCGATGTAGCAAGGATATCAGGTCTGGAATTTGAAGGATAAGAAATGCAGTGATAGAAGTATTTTGAAAACATTTAACCCAATCATCTGTTTATTGAACTCCTAATAGCGAAGGCAGGGAAAACTTTAGTCTTTAGACTGGGAGATACACTAAGCAGTCCATCCTTGGCCCATTCTTATGTTAAAGGCATGCTTGAGGCAGCATTCCCAGACACTACCAACCCTCCTTTATTCCTTCTCATTAATTCAAAGCAACGATCAAGGGAAATTAAGTTACAAAGAACCACAGTCAGGGTAATAGCAAACATTTTAGGAGCAGCAAAGTTTTTTGAATAGCTGCTTGGACATCACTATTTTAGATGGGAATAAATGAGTGGTCAATGGGGAGCTTGGATCCCAAGCGATGTCTTGAAGTGAGGCAGAGTTGCACAAAGAGTTATCCCAGTAGGGTTTAAGGGATTACAACTCCAGTTAAAAACCAGAACTGAGGGCCAGAATAAGTCTGTGTGAAATTGAATGGCTGGATAAACTAGAGCAAATGAATGTAATGAAGTACTGTTGTGCAGAAAGAAATGACAAATGAGGAATTCAGAGAAATACTGGGAAAGTTGTATGAACTGATGTTGAGTGAAACAGGGAGAACCAAAAGAATATACACAATTGCTGCAATGTAAATGGAAAGACCATTCAAAAAAAGCTGAATTACGTCCTTGAAAAACCAGTCATAGTCCCCCAGAACGAAACTTCCTCTTAGAGGTATGGAGGGCCCCAGAAGAACGCTGTACAGTGAGACAGTCAGCTACCTGGTACTTTCGCTTGGTTTTTGTTATACAGGAGGGTTCAATTAAGATGAGGAGAGTAGGAATGGTAGAAATGATTTTTTAAAACTTTTTAAAAAATTCCTTGAAAGTTGAAGCATTTTCTTAATTTGTTTCTGCATTGCCCTCAAGGGGATGGGGACTGGCTGAGATTTCATCACTTTCCTCAAGGATGAAGAAACTCCTTCTACTCAGGCAGCTCAGATCCTTCCGGGCCATTTATAGCCTTAGAGTGTCCCCTAGGGCTCAGACAGGTTAAATAGCACACCTAGATGGCCAGTCAAAGTGGAACTAAATTAAATTTCTCATCCTCTCAAGGCCTTACCTTAGAAGGCTTCCTTTCTTTCCCTTCTTCCCCTCCCACCCCAGCATAGGAGGGGACATTCTACTATCATCCTATGCTTCTTCCGTGACCCCCTCAAATGGCAGAGTGCCCCTGTATGCCTTTACTCCTATCATGGAATGGGGGAAAGAGGGAATTCCTTCAATAAGATTAATTCACATTTATACAGAGCTTTAAAAAAAAAGTCTATTGAGGACTTTACGTATATTTCCTCACTTGAGCCTCACAACTGAGTAAGAAAGGTAGTATATGGACTGTCCCCATTTTACAGATGAGATTCCTTAAGGTGTGGAGAGGAGAGGTGACCAGCCCCGGTCAGAGTGGGTGTCCAAGGGAGGATTCATTCACAGGCTTTCCTGGCTGAAGTTCAGTCCCTGATCCTCTCCATTGAAATCTTCTCCTAAAATGTTTCTCCACCCAAAACCCCAGGCCCACTTTCTCAGTCCCCTAGGAGAGGATATACCAACTCAGACCCAATCAATCAATCCACGAGCATTTAAGCACTTACTAAGTGTCTGGTGGTATGGGGCCATCAAGGAGATGGGGTTACAAAGAAAAGCAAAATCAACCTCTGCCTTCAAAGAGCTCACATTCTAATAAATAACAACTTTAGAACCGGAAAGGACCATAAGGACCATTGCATCATGGGATTTTTAACCTGGGATCCATGGATAGATTTCAGGGATGAACTTGGATGGAAAAAAATTTTTGTCTGTGAATGTGGGCAACAAACATACTGAGAAGAGGTCCACAGGCTTATTAAATGAGACAGTATTTGTAAAAGTGATTAGCATAGAGCCCGGCACACAGCAGCTGCTTAGCAAATGCTTTTTTTAAGTAACCAGACTGCCAAAAGGGTCCACAACACAAAAAGGGTAACGAACCCTGAACTAGTCTAACAACTTCATTTCACTAATGAGCAAAGTGGTTTGCCCAAGATCACACAAGCAGTAGAGGACAGAGTCAGGATTCTAACCCGAGGCCCAACTCCACATTCAGTGCCCTTTGCACTACACCATACCACGTCTGAGCAAGTTGGGCTCCTTCCCCAAAACCCTCCACCACAACAGAAGACAAGTGTGCTCCAGCACCCTCATTCCAAGGCATGGGAGCAGGCCTCGGACACTCTGGATACTTTCCCTTCTCTCAGGCTTCTTTTATTCCTGCACTTGACATTGTTGCCCATTCTATAAAAATGATGGAGATGCTACATTTCAGTCAGACCATCAGTTAGACCATCCTCTGCAGTGGGATACTTTCTCCTCTCTTGGCTTTCCCATTTGTTCAGTTCTTCTTAGTCTCCTCTGCTGGATCACTGACGGTAAGTGTACCCCAAGACTCTGTACTGGACCTCTTCCCTCCCTCCCAGTGATCTTAGCAGCTCCCCCAAGTTCAATTATCTCTATGCAGATGAGTCCCAGGCCAGGCCTGATCACCAAATAACTATTTCCTAACGGATGTACCATTGCCACTTCAAACACTGACTCAAAATAGAATTCATCTTTCCTTCCAAACCTACCCTCCCCAAAGTCCTTATTTCTCTTTAGGACACCACAACTGCTCAGCTGGCATTTAAGGCCCTTTGAAGTCTGCCTCTGGCCTAGGCACCCTTCCTTCATGCTAGGTTTTAGCCAAACTGACCTAATCATCTCATCTTCCCATCTTCTGCCTGGGTGTCTTTGCACAGTCCCCCCACCTGGAGTGACCCCCCTTCTCATCTACAAATCTTGAAATTCCTGGCCTCCTGAGCTCATGCTCCATATCCTACATGAGGCATTTCCTGACTTCCTACCCCCAGCCACCAGTACTCATTCTCTATTCCACTACAGGTACTTGGTGTATCTTTTGTTTTTACTTTTCTGGGTAATTTCCCAGTTAGAATGTAAGTTCTTTGAAGGCAGAGACTGGCTTTTTTTTTTATTCCTTTGTATCCCCATTCCTTAACACAGTACCTGACACACAGTAGGCACTTAATGATTGTTGAGCCGGTCAACAAGCACTTATTGTTTACTACACCCACAGCATAGTGGAGAGAAAGCTGGCCTGAATTCAAAGCCTGCCTTTGATATATACTGGCTTCATGATCCTGAACCAGTCAACTTCTCAATGGTCTAGGCCAGTGGTGTCAAACTGAAACAGAAATAGAGCCCACTAAACCGTACACAAGGATCCCTGAGCACCACATACTGACTCAGAAAAGTTTGTTGGTATAAGTTTTATTATATTTTTATTTTTTTAAAAACCAATTCCCAATTACATTTTAATCTGGTTTGGGCTAACACCTCCACTCTAGGCAACTCTTTAAAACTTTTATATTGAAAGAGGAGAAGGCGCTGCCCTGCACTGGTAGAGAGCTTTCCCCTGTGGGAGTTCCCCTTATCAGTGAAATCCCAAGTCCATCGGTTATCCCTATGTACCAGGCACTGTGCTAAGTGGTGAGCACACAAAGGTGAAAACCTTGTCTGCCCTCAAGGAGCTCATATCCTACCAGGGGAAGCAAGTAACTAGGGACATAGAGGATAAGAGAAGAAAGGTAACCTCAGTGTGGAAGACTACTGGGGTGGGGTGGGGGGAACGCTAGGAAAGCCCTCCTGCAAAAGACAGGGTTTAATATATGGAATACTTTAAGCAGATGAAATAAAAATTTTCCTATTAAGTTAAAAAACCTGGGTGAAGGTGCTGCGATGGAAATTGGTCATTTTCCATTTTCTAAACGTTTTGGTTTCCCGACCTGACATGGGAAGGGGTTCTCTAGCAGGAGTGTCCTTGACTCCATCCCAAACATAAGAGAGGGTCCCCCAGAAATACTCCTGGCTCCTTCTCTGACCTAAGGAGAGGATCCTCCTGCAGCCCCCAACTTCTGATCTACACATCCTGGCTCCTTCCTTGACCTCTGACCTGGGAAGGTCGCTACAGTGGCATCCCTCCGACCCCAGACATACACAGAAGGGGGAGGGGTCTTCAGCAGCACTTTCACTAACCTCTGGCCTTGGAAGCACCACTCACTTTTGCCCAGACAGAGAAGGTGGGGGGAGGGGTCGTCCAGCAGCCCCTCCACCCGCTTCTCTGCCGCTTGGTGGAGTGGACTCTGGCTCTGGAGCCGGAGGGCCTGGGTTCGAAACCTCGGGCAAAGTGGTTGAGAAGATCAAATGAGACTTCCTTTGTAAGGCGCTCAGCGCAGTGCCTGGCACACAGTGGGCGCTTAACAAGCACTTCCTCCCTCCCTGCCTTCCCCATCCTGGCTTTGACGCATCCACCCCGGGTGACCTTGGGCTGGCCACTCCAGCTCCTCGGACCTCTGTTTCCTCCCCCGTGAGAAGACAAGGCGGCAGGACGCGATGGGGCCCTGAGCTCCCCGCCACGCACCGGGCCCCCCGGCCGGGTCTGCTCCGCGCTCGGCCCGCTCATGCCCGGCCCTGCCCTGCCCTGCCAGGGCCCCGGGCGCGCGAGCTCT